GGGGGGTGTTATATGGTGGGGGAAGAGGAAAGAAGGGCCCAGAAAGTCCTAGGGAGGGGCCATAGCCCTTAGGCCCTGCAAATATCAGGGAAAGCTGGGGCAGAGTAGGGGTCTGGAGTGATGATCTGGGCCAGATTCACCCTGTGCAAGCAGGTAAAAGGTATTAGCAGCCATCAAACAAAAACATAGAAAGGAGGTGGAATTTTCCTCAGTCTTGTCTCGCTGCCCAGAGGCTGCCTTGTGATGAGGGACAGGCCTGGCCTGGAGCAGAGGTGCAGAAGCAGAAGGGCAGAAAATCCCAAGCAGCCATGGGCAATCCAAAAGGAATTATGCTCCATTTGGAAGTAAATGATGTTTGGGGCCTGGTGTAGGCTAGAGGATTAACTGTCCCTGTGGGCAGATATTGAACTGAATCAGACTTCTGGTGCCTGGAAAGGTCTTACAGGCAGAATGGGCGAGCCGGGCTCGAGGGGCAGAGAACCGATGCATATTAAGCACCTACTGTGCCTGGCTCTAGGCATATACTGTACATACAGCGAATCCCTCCCTCCACCAGGCGGGGGCAGTGTCCCCGTCGGCCACAAGGAAACAGGCTCAGGGAGGTGATGGCGATGTGACCTGTCCAAGATCACATGGTTAGGGAGAGTCAGACTTCCACGCAGGCTGGCTGAGTCCCAGCCCAGGCCTCCTTGCCCCTGTGCCTGAAGGGGAGGACCGGGGTAAGTGGAGTATGAGTGGTGGGTGAGCCTGGGCTCCTGAACGGCTGTTGCTGAGGCCTGAGCTCAGCAAGAAGGAGTTTGGCTCAGTGACTCCCTTGCTCTCACCGGAAAGGAGTCTGGACCCTGAGGCTGGGGTCGCTCCTGCATCATAGCCTGGAGTCTCCCCAGGCTCCAGCTGGGTGAGGACAGGCAGGGACAGAGAGGAGGCTGACCCTCCCAAGGTCTTCGGCTGGCACTCTCCCGTGCCTCAGCGTGGGACCAAGCCGTTACAAACCCACCTGTAACCAAACTCCTCCAGGCCACCTGAATATCCCTCCAGAGCAGGAACACCTGCCCAGGCCAGTCCTCCTCATCTGTCAGCCTCCCCGCTAAGTCCGGGCTTGGCCTGGGTCCCAAAGTGGAGGCCCCAAGGTGGGGTATGGTGCAGAGGTGGCAGGGGGCCAGAAGGGAGGGAGACAGAGAAGTGGGCACTGAGACCAGGACTGACTGAGTGGAAGCCTCTGGAAGACAAGATGGGGGGCCTGAGGCTCACTGAGGCGGGCAGGAGAGACCTCATCTCCCCTGCCATGGCCATTCCCAGCCCAACCCCGTCTTCTCCCTGCAGTGCTGGATTTTCCTGCTGTTTTCTTCTGCAGAGGAAAATGGTCTCCAGTGAGGTGTGGTATGAGGAGGGGTGACCGGGGGAGGGGCGGGCCCTGTAAGTGTGAGAGGCGAGGGCTTGGCCCGCTCTGCTCCATGGCCGCGGCTGCTCCCTGCTGGCCCTGATCCTCACCCGCCTGCCCCCCGCATTAGGTGCTCAGCAAATATTTGTCCCATGACTGGTTCTCCTGTGCTCCCTCCAGCCCCCAGCGGCGGCTGAGTTACCAGCGGTGGGGGGTGAAAGCTGGAGACTGAGCTGGACTCTGGACCTCAAACCCCAGGGCCAGGTCCCCCTGGAATGATAATTAGGGGGCCCCATAGTGATCCTTTGCCACCAGAGCTTCTGATAACTAGGAACCCATCTATGTCCCTCCTTAACGGGGCGTCTCTTTTTCTCTTAACTTTTTACTGTTGTTTATTTACTTTGGGGAAGGCAGCACAGAAACACAGTCCAAAATTCAAGGTACAAAAGGGTAGTCACTGCAAATTGCAAATTCCCCCTTCTACCTGCCCCCCTCCCACTAGCAACTGATGTGTTTGGCTCCCTCCCAGCCCCAACTCTTCCCGGAGAACTTGGCACCTGGGGCCACAGTAGAGCGCCCAGTCCCTCTCAGTATTTGGGTCTCGTTTTGGAGGCCAATCTTGCATACTCAGGCTTGGAGGGAAGGGCCAAGGCATCCCACCTGGAGCATGGACAGCCCCTGTGTCTGGGCGGGGGGATGCCAACTGCCAGAGCCTCTCATATCCGCAGAAGGTGGGCTCTTTCTGAGGCTGGAGCTGTCAAAGGTGTCACTGGACGCCCATACCTTCCAGGCAGCGGTGTTGCCCTGTGATTTTGGTTAAGCCCCCTTCACCCATCAGCCATCTGACCGCCCCATCTCCTGTCCACAGACTCTGGTCCTGGCTTGGGACGTGTCCCCTTGCCTCAGGGCTGGGTCGGGGGGGCGGTCTGCAGGCCTACCTCCTCACCCTCCTCGATGTGGTAGTCCTTCCTGATGTTGGGGCCCCCGATGAACATGACTTTGAGCTGCTCCTGATGCCTGCAGTGGAGGAGAGGGAAAAGGTGCTGCACCAGCTCACAGGAGAAGACAGGAGGTAGAATTTTGATTCAGTCACACTGGACGGCTGTTGTGTTGGCTGTTGTCATGTTTTTATGTGACAGCCTAAGGGAAAAGAGGTCAGTGCCCCTGACTAAATAGTCAGGTATTGCATGTTTTAAAAATTCTTGCGGCACACCAGTTGAAAATTGCCGATCTAGGTACATATGGAAAGTTCTTGAATGAGCCCTTGAGAACTCTTTCAACCCGTCAGTCAGCGTGCCTAAGCCAGATCATGTCATTCTGCTCAAAAGCTCCCAGCAGCTTCATATGTCCCCTCCCCCCCCCC